GGGCAGAGGTTGCAGATAATCAGAGGGCAGGGGCCCCAGCTGTCCAGAGGGCAGAGGTTGCAGATAATCAGAGGGCAGGGGCCCCAGCTCTCCAGGGAGCACAGGCTGCGTCTAATGGGGCAGAGGCCATAGCTGACCAGAGGGCAGAGGCAGCATATAATCAGAGGGCAGAGGCCCCAGCCGTCCAGGAAGCTGAAGCCTCAGCTGCCCGGGGGGCCACGGGGGCAACCCCAGGAGCCAGGACCCGGAAACAGGTCAAGACAGTGAGGTTCCAGACCCCTGGACGCTTTTCATGGTTTCGAAAGCACCGGAGAGCCTTCTGGCACACTCCCCGGTTGCCAGCCCTGCCCAAGCGAGTCCCCAGGGCAGGCGAGGCCAGGCACCTCAGGGTGCTGAGGGCCGAGACCAGAGCAGAAGCAGAACAGGGAGAACAAGAAGACCAGCTGTGAGGTGAGGGCGGGGGGCCGCGGGGCACCCCACCACCTGCCTCTCGCACGCTTGTCAGAGATGCTCTCTCTGCCTCCACGCTTGAAGATGGAGGTGGGGAGAGAGGCAGACGGCGCCCCTCACATCTCCACCCAACACTCCCCTTTCTTTTCTTGTTCAAGTTATATCTTTCATGCGTTGATTTTGTAAGTACAGACTCCTGTAGTAATCCAAAGAATGTAAAGAAAGAAACCCACCCCAATGGGGTTGCATCGCCCACGTTTTTAACTTCCTCAAATGCAACCCTAGGTGCTCAGCTTGGAAAAGGGACAGAGGCAGGGGAGAAAAGCTCCTTGAACTTGGCACAAGCCAACTTGCAAATAAAAACATTTACAAACGGACTTCTTGACTTCGGACCTGGCCACTGAAGAAAGCTCCGGGGTGCTTTGGTCACGCCCTGGTGTCGTCTCTACTCCCACTCTCCACGATGCTGACACTCTGCCGGCCATCCCCACGCCCCTGGGTTCTGCCGGCTAGGAGTCCGGGGTCTGTGGTTCACACACCTCACCCGACCCTGATTCCCAGGTACAGAAGAAGCAGCCCGGAAACGTGTCCAAAATGCAGATTCTGGGGCCCTTCATGCCAGAGCTGTGGATTTGCTTGAGCTGGCTGTGCGGCCCTAGAATCTCTGTTGATCACGCCCCACAAACATCTCCTGGGGCGTCTTGGCCCCTGGACATGTTGAAAATCATTGCAATGGGAACAGGCCCCCAAGGCGGGTTGTGGTGTAGCACTGTGTAGGGTCCTGTGACTGGTGCTTGCCATGGGGAGAGATCGGGTTGCTAAGGCCCCGTGGGAGCTGGGGGGCATCTCTGTATTGTCTTGTGTCCCGCCCCCCCCCCCCCACAGCCCCATCAGTGAAAAACAGACCAGCAAACGGCCACACCCCAGCCTCGCAGAAGGCGGGAGAAAAGGAAACTCATGGAGGAGGGAGGGCTGAAGGCCATCTCTGTCCTCCTGGCTGTGACTGCAGTCCTGGCCTGAGTTTCTTAGTTTTTTCTTGGAACTAAAGAATTAAAGGTCCCCTCTGGCCCTGCCCCAGAAGTTGTCCCTGCCAGGGCTGCTTGCTGTGTGACACCGAGAGCCCCTTTGCAGTGGGTGAAGGTCACAGCTCATAGGCCAGCAGGAAAGAGCCCCCAGTGGGATTTAGAAGAAAGACAAGGTGTGCACCCTGCCTGGAGGGATGAACTTGTTGGGGGGCAGGGGAATAGCCAGGCTGGCTGGGGCCGTCTCTGGAGTGGCCAGCGAGCTCTCCGGAGGCCAGGCTGCTGGTGGCAGTGGAGGCTGCCCACGGCTGCTGTCCATCTGGGAGAGCAGTGACCTCATGACCCTGCGGGCCTGGCCAGTTTGGGTTGCTGGAAGTGAAAGGAGATGGGAGCAGAGACGCTCAGGGAGACTCAAGACTTTGGGCAGATCTGTCCCCCAGCTGATTCTGTTTGTCCTTCCTGTGCCCAGCATCCCAGGCCCGAGCGTCCGGCGAGGCCCAGGAGGTGGGTAACCTGAGACGGTACCAGGAATTTCAACATTATTTTTAATCCAAGGGGGTTTCAAATGGCGCCTGGAGGGCCTGGTCCCCAAAAGCAGCCTGTTGGTGCCTCCTGGGTTGTGGTTTCAAATGTGCCAGGATTTTCAGGGAGGTAGCCCCCAAAATCCAGAGTTTTGACTCCAAACCAGCCCTTATCTAAACCGGCCCAGCCGCCCCTCATCATCACCAAGGAGAAAAACAGACCACAGATGTGGAGGAGAGAGATGCCACCTTGTGACAGGTGGGGACCTTCTGGGTCCCCTCTCCAGGCCCCATGGTGTGTGACAGGAAAAGAAGAAACCATTGGGAGGATAAGGTGAGGAGGGATTTTGGAGGAGGGATTTGGAGCCCGGCTAACCCCTCACACTGCCACTTACAAGCTGTGTGACCTTGGGCTGGTTACTTAACTTCTCTGCACCTCCAATTACTCCTCTTAAAGTGGGATCTTAATAGAGTTTTCCTCCCAGGATTGCTGCGAGGACTGAAGAAGATGCAATGTGCTAGTGCTCACATCAGCGCCAACAGATGGCATCTCATCTTATCCCTGTTCTCTATCAGTGGCGGCCACTTCTTTAGCAGACATCTCAGCCCTGATGGGGACCTTAGGGCCGCGGTTCCCCATCCCGGCTGCCGTGTGGAATGACCTGGGAGCTCTCAACACTCCTGCCCAGCCCGCCTTCTCGGAGATTCTCACAGGAGGGTACAGGGTATGGCCGGAGCACCCAAAGTGACGATTCCAATGTGCACCCGGGCTGAGAACGGCTGCCCTAGGCGTCCAGGAGATGATCAGAGCCACAGCGGGGGCTCTCAAACTGGTTCCGCATCAGAATCACCTGGGGGGCCTTTTAAACCACAGGTTGCTGGGCCCCGCCCCCAAGTGATGCTGTAGGTCTAGGGGGAGCCCAAGAATACGCGTTTCTATCAATTTCCCAAGTGATGCTGATGCTGGCGACCCCGGGGCCTCCCTTAAAGGACGGCTGCCCTACAGGAAAGGCCCCTTTCCGCAGTCTGGCGGTCAAAGGCGGGGTGCTCTGGGGCTGGAGAGCGCAGGGCACGTGCCTGGCGCACCCCGAGCGCTGGGGAGGCGCCCCTTCCCGGCGGTCCTGGAGCGCCCCTGGCGGGCCCCGCGGGCGCCGCGGCTCCGCTCCCCAGGGGTGGGCGGCGGGGAGGGGGGGCGTCGTCTACCACCCCCGGAGCCCTCGCTCTTCCCTCCCGGGAATCCTGGGACCTGGCCACACTCTCAGGAGTTTCGGGACACCCTTTCCCCAGTTGGGCGGGCCGAGGGGCCGGGACATGTTCACCCTGGGGTGGGGGGCGAGGTTGGGGAGGGGATGGGGCTTGGAGCCGGGGCGCCTCGGCCTCACGCCTCCTCTGTGGCCGCCCGGTTCCCCCGGCCTCTTCCCGGGCCGCCGCCTCCGCCTCCTCGGTCCTCCGGCCCCTGGGGGCTCCCGCGCCCCGCTTTCCACGCGGACCTCAGGGCCTTTACGCGGCTGCTCCTGGGACCCGCGGCGCTGCTCCCACGCCCCCCGCGGCTCACTCCCACCATGGGGGGGCGTTCTAGCACCTTCCTCCCCGCGCGCATCTGGGTCTGGTTCGCCAATTCCGTCCGTCAGTCATTCGACAACTAGAAACTGAGCAGCCACCGTGTGCGCACCTGCGCTGGCGCGGGGACGCGGCGGGGACAGGATGGACCACGCTCCCGGCCCGGGGGCGGCCCTGCTGCCCCTCACCCCCCATCCCCATCCCCGGGTGGGACCCTCGGCCTCAGCCGCGGCCCCGGTTCCTCCGGCAGCTGCGGCGCTGGGCGGGCCCACGGGCACCGGCGGGAGACGGAGGCGGGAGGGGGACACGCTGAGGCTGCTCGGGCTGTGGGGGCGGCAGCAGGGACGCGAGCCAGCGGCTCCTGGGTCCCCCCTCAGGCCGGTCGGCCGTTCCTGGAACCTCGCAGCGCAGCGCCCTGGGCTCAGCACCTCCCTGCGGGGAGCAGCTGCTGCGTTCCTCATCTTTGGGACCTGACGACCCCTTCTGCACTTTGCCTGCAATACCCGTGTCCCCAGTTCCCTCTGTGAAGCCCCCTGACACATACAGTCAGTGCGCTATTTAGAAACATACGTGAGTCGTGTCAGGTGGCAATCAGAGCTGCAAGAAATAAAGTGGGGAGGTGCAGGAAGGGTTGTGTGTTTAACAGGGTGGTCAGGGAAGCCCTCCCTGGGAAGGTGACATTTGAGGGAAGACCTGCATGAAGCCAAGGACAGACCCGTGCAAATATCCTGGGGAAGGGCCCTCCGGACAGCGGGAACAGCAAGTGCAAAGGCCCTGAGGCAGGAATATGCCCCATATGTTCCCTGAACAGCAGGGAGACCTGGTGGCTGAAGCCACGTGGGGGTGGTGGGCAGTGAGGCAGAGGGAACGTGGGGACAGAGTGCGTAGACCAGTGCTGTCCAGGGGAACTTTCTGTGATGATGGAAATGTCCTATCCCCGCACAGCACAGTAGGGTAGCCTCTGGCCACTTGTGGTTCTCGAGCACGTGTCATGCGGCTGGTATGACTGGGGAGCCGGATCCCCTGCCCGCGCAGCCATCAGCAAGTCTGATAAAGATTATTAGTCGGCGGTTGGTCACTTCCAGACCAGCCCCCACCTGACGGTGACTGTGATGGTGTGTGCCTTGTGTGGGGGGACCACTGTGAGCACCAGGGCAGTGCACCGCCCCCTGCCGGGTGACTCAGTCTTCTCCTGATCAGCCCCAGCTCACCCTGGGCGGCTTTCCTACACCCCGCTTTCCCCCTGCCCTGGAGTTTGGGGGTCCCCAAGGGGGAAGGGGGTGGCCAGTCACAGACTCTGGAGTCCCACGGGACGTGGTTTGAGTGAAGACAGATCGCCTGGGTTCAGGTTCCAGTGCTGTGTGACCCTGGGCAAGTCATCTACCCTCTCTGGGTCTCGGTTTCCCCATCTGTACGGTGTGAACAGTAAGAGCGCCTAAACTTGCGTTAAAACGATTTGAGCGTCATAGTTAAAACATGGGAGCGAGTCAAGAGTCCATCCACGGATGAATGGATAAGCAAAATGTGTTATATACCTACAAGGGAATATTATTCGGCCTGGAAAAGGAAGTTAATTCTGCAATATGCTACCACATGGATGAACCTTGAGGATGCTATGCTAAGTGAAATAAACCAATCACAAAAAGACAAATACTGTATGATTCCACTTATATGAGGTACTTAGAGTAGTTAAAATTATGAAAACAGAAAGTATAGTGGTGGTTGCCCATGGCTGGGGGGAGGGGCGAATGGGGAGCTATTGTTTAATAGGTAGTTTCAGATTTACAAGATGAAAAGAGTTATGGGGACGGATGGTGGTGACGGCTGCACAGGAACGTGAGTGTACTTAATACCACTGACTGTACACTTATAAACGGCTAAGATGGTAAATTTTATATGTGTATTTTAACTTAAAAAAAATTAAAAAAAAAAACAAACAAACAGCCCGAGCGGTTCAAACGGTGCTTGGAATATAGTCAGAGCTATAGCAAAATTAGTTATTGTTATTTTTCTAGGTAGCGTCGAATCCCACCTTCCCAGCCTCAGAGGTGACCAGATTCAGCACTGAATGGATCTGGGCGCGTAATTCCGCGCGCTCGTCTGCGCGCTGTAACCAGCCGTCCTGGAGCGCCCTCTGGTGGGGACCGCGGGCGCCGCGGCTCGCGGGCTGAGGCCGCGTCCCCGGTCTCCCCCGCGGGGGGCGGCGGGGAGGGGGTCGCGTTCTCCGTCCCGGGAGCCCTCATTCCTCCCTCCAGCTGTTCTAAG